GATGGATTAAGTTTCCTAGTTGAACTGTATGATGAAATGCAAGTATGCTATTAGCCTATGGCATATCAATAATTACAAAAATAGATGTACATGTAATTGATATTAATGAATGGTATTGTACTACTGTAGTTTATACCTTTTATTAAACGGTAATATACACTGTACATGTACATGTTTTGTAGGGTTTGGTGCCACGTCATGAGTTATATTCATGCCCTCAGTCTAAAGTAGAGGAAGTGATTGAGTACATTAAGATACAGGAGAAGGCCTGGGTGGGTAAGCCTGTCATTGCACGAAAACCAACTGACTACCTATTTTATCCTGGTTAGAAAAATAGCAATATTGATAAAACATTTATTTATTATTATTAAGGTGTGGTTTTAAAGCAAAAAGATTCATCACAAGATTTTGTCATACGTTGGTCTGATAACACCACTCATACAATTGTAAGTCATTGCCATAGTTACAGTTTCCATTACAATATTGATTATGTGATTGCAGGAAGTGACGGATATGTTTGGCGAATTAACAAGACGACGCCCACTATACACTGATGATTATGTCATTGCATTACCAGAAGAAGGTTAAATAATTTTTACCTGAAAACTGATGCATGTAACATGACATCTGTACACTAACCATTGCTGTTACAGTAAATATCACTAATTGTTATTGGTCTGTTAGATGATGGTGGAGGTGTGTGCTATCCTGGTAAGATCATTGGTGTCCAAGGAGAAAAGCTCATTATTCAGTTGCACAATAACAAACTGTGAGAATAGAATCCTTTTGTATTAATTTTATTTCTCTTATATACCAGTGATGTAGCAATAGCAATAAGCTACTAAAATTGAGCTATAAGCAAAAAATGTATTTTAGTGCATGAAGTAGATCAGAAAATATTCTATTATAGTTCACTGCCTCTGCTCTGTTAAAAATGTTGCTGAGTGTATTACTAATGTACAGTGAATTTAACTTTTTTACAAATTAAAATGCAGCTTCAATTGTGATTATGACTTAGTTCTTTCTTATTTCTTATTTCTAGTTGTTTAGCTTCGTTTGAGCATTGTTTCTGGATATCTGACTCATACTATCAAAACAGTGTACTATTGATAGAAAGAGTAAAGGAAGAAACCAACAAATGAAGAAAACTTGTGGCACACATTTAATAATAGACTAGATTATCAATTTATTATCACAGAGTAGATTATCAATTTATTGTCATCATAGATAGTTCTCATTGAAATAGAATATGGAGAATCAAAAATGTGTGGGAGTTGTTAGGTTAGGTGTGGTAACATTGTGGTCAAATCAGTATCTGCATCTAAAATGTCTTTCCCTCGGTCTTTCTCTGGTTTTTTGTCTTCTCCTCCTCTTCTTTCTGAGCTAATAGAGCAGGTTGATGTTGGTACTAAGTGGTATCTCTTGGGTACACTACTACACGTTGATAGTAAGAGATTGGATGGTTTTGAACAGCTACCAGGACATGATGATACAAGCAAGACATTGAAGATGTTCCAACACTGGCTGACCACTACTCCTACTGCTAGTAGGAGACAAGTACTGGAAGCATTGAGAAGGAGAGTGGTTAATGAGCATACAGTAGCTGATAAATATGAAAAATATTTGAAGGAGCTTCATGATACTACTTGTAAGTAGAACCTTGTTTTTTAGTTATTTTTTCTTGACATGATATAGATACTGTGTACGACTTGATCTATAAAGTACATTAATTATACATTATTTCAATTTAGATATATCGCTGGCAGTTTCTATTCTTCAAAAGAATATTCAATCATTGAATGAAGCTCTTGTCTCTCCTGTACAAGTGTCTCAACTGTTATACTGTAAGAGATGTATAAGTGAAGCTACTCTAGATGAAATGGAGAGGATAGATCAGAGGAGGTCACTGGATGACAAGAAGACCACTCTATTGACTGCCATGCAAGAAACAGTGTCTAGCGACTACAGGAAACTTAAAGATATTGCTAGAGTG